GCAGAGAGTCAGGGGCTAAGTCCCTGCCAGAGGGGAACAGGCCAAGTCTCCTCAGGAGCCTGCTTTCTCTGAGGCCTCCTGATTATTTCCACCCTTGGGGCCCTCCAGCCTGACGGCAGAATTACAGCTTATGAAAACAGGCCGGGCGTTTCCCAACAGGACTACATCAAACTAAAAATATTCTGCATGACTAAGAAAACATCAGCAAAATGAAAAGGGAATCAAACATATGAGAAAATATATTTGCCAATGATACCTCAGACAAGGGTTTTATCTCCAAAATACATAAAGAATGCTCACAACTCCACACTAAAAAGACAAACAAGCCCATTAAAAAAAATGGGCAAAGGACCTAAACAGACACTTCTCCAAGAAGGAGATACAGAGGCTCCAGAGACATGTGTAAGGATGCTGAACACCACTAAGCATAGAGAGATGCAAATTTAAACCACGATGAGATACCACTTCATGCAGGTCAGAATTACTATTGTAAACAAATTAACAAAGAACAAGTGCTAGCGAGGTTATGGAGAAAAGGGAACCCTAGTACACTGTTAGTGGAAAGGTATTCTGTTGCAGCCACTGTGGAAAACAGTGTGGAATTTCCTTTAAAAAATAAAAATATAACTGCCTTTGACCTGGAGATTCCACTGCTGGAATTATGCCCTAAGTATCCTGAAATACCATTTGAAAAGAACCGAAGCATCCCAATGTTAATAGCAGCATTATTTTCAATAGCCAAATATTGGAAACTGCCTAAGTCTCCATCTGTAAATGATTGGATCAAAAAACTATGGTACATTTACACAATGGAATACTATGCTGCACAAAGAAAGAAGTGGCTCCTACCCTTCATGATAGCATGGATGGAACTAGAGAGTATTATATTAAGTGAAATAAACCAGGAGGTGAAAGACAAATATAATATGTTTTCACCTATAATTGGAACCTTATCAACACAACAAACAATGTAGCAAAATGGAACCAGAGACACAGAAATAAAGAATAACCTGACAATGACCATAAGGGTGGGGGAGGGATATAATGGGGTTAAGAAGGGGAAGGGTTAAGTTAACGAACATGTATAAAGGACCAATGGACAAAGACAACAGGGGTTGGGAGAATTGAATGTGAAGGGGCTAGGCAGGGCAGGAGAGATCAATGGAGAAAAACTGTAATTGATCATCAATAATTTTTTTAGAAATCTGAAATTAATGCATAAATATGAAAGAAAAGTAAGAAACAACCTTTTAAGTTGAAAGTACTAGCTAAGTATGAGTTAGATCTTATCTCTCAATCCACCATCCAGTAGTCTCAGTACTGCTGATGCTCTGCACTAATTTGAACTATTGGACTTACGAAGAGATACAAACACACACAGAGACATTTTTTCCAGGAGATATAGTCCTATATTTCTTCTGCTTCCTCTAATTTCTTGGTATTAATAAGCAGACAACTGTATTTACAGATACAATTTACTTAGCAAATGGCAAGAGGGAAGGAAGAATACCATTTCTGAATTGAAGAACACAGAAAAAGGAATCAAAAGCTGGCTAGATGAAACAGAGGAATGAATCAGCAGGCTGGAGGATAAGGCAGAAAAAAGCTCCCATAAAAAGCAGGAAAATGGGGGAAAAATCTCAAAAATAATGAAGAAGCATTTAAGGACATGCAGGAAAACCTGAAACATAATAATATCCATATAATAGGGATACCAGAAGGAGAAGAAGAGGAGTAAGGGATAGAGAACCTGTTTGAAAAAGTCATGATGGAAAAGTTCCGTAATTGCAGGAGAGAAAAAGTCACAAAACTCAAGGAAGCACAGAGGGTCCCATTCAAGAGGAACCCAATGAGGCCCACTCCAAGATACACCATGATTAAAACGGCAGATATCAGGACAAGCAGAGACTCTTAAAGGAAGTAAGGGAGAAAGAGATAGTAACATATAAGGGAGCCCCAGTACGGCTAGCAGCTGACTTTTCAAGAGAAACACTACAAGACAGAGGGAATGGCAAGAAATATTCCAAATCATGAAAAGCAAAGGCCTGCAACCAAGACTGCTCTACCCAGCAAAGCTCTCAATTCAAATGAAAGGTGAAATAAGGAGTTTCCCAGAGAAAAGAAGGCTAGAAGAATACACCTCCACGAAACCAGCATTACAATATATGCTAAAAGTACTGATTTAAGATGATGAAGAAAATGTCTATGAATACTCAGTTCCCTTCACAGTCACCAATACTTGATATTACCAATATTTTTAATACTTATTCATCTGATTGTGACAGTGATGTGTTATTTTAATTGTTACTTAATTCTTTGTTGAAACTAAACCTGTTTTGTATATTTCTTGCCTATTTCTGTTATTTTTAAAAAGCTTTAAATGACTTTTTGGTATTCTTTATCCATTTTTGACTAAATGTTTGTATAACTTTTTCCTAAAAAATTAAAAAAAAAAAACTATTAACCCTTTTTTAGATGTGTTGTAAATATTTTCCTATTTATTGCTTGTCCTTTAACTTTTTTGTATGTATATTACTATATAGTCTCGAATGTTTAATATAGTCATATTGTCAATATTTTACTTTATAGCTTCTGGGTTTGAATATTTAGCTTCAGAGTAAGAAAATATAATTTTGTATTTTCTCCTAAAAGTCCTTATATTTTTCATATTGATTTTTAACTCACCTGAATATTTTTTGTATATTCTGTGAAATAGGGCTCTCTATATTTTTTTTTATTTCAAGTAATAGTGGTCCATGCATCTTATTTTTTGAATAAGCCTTATTTTCCCCATTGGTTTGAAATATCAATTTAATGATATATTACATTGTTAGATACATACATTTGTTTCTAGAATACTCATTCGATTTCATTGATCTGCTTGATTATTTCTGTGCTGGTGTTATGTTGTTTTAATTGCTGAGACTTTATAATGGATTTAATTTTTTAATATTTTATAATATTTTATAATCTTGACATTTAAATAAATAAATTAATCAAAACAATCTGCATTTTTTAAAAATAAAGAAAGAACTAACTCCTATCTTTTGTGACAACATGGATGGAACTGGAGATTATGCTCAGTGAAATTAGCCAGTCAGTTAAAGATAAATACCATATGAACTCCTCACTGTAAGTCGAATCTATTCAACAAAATAAACCAATGAACAAAATAAACCACTGGCATGGAAGCATGGAGCAGACTGAACGTGAGTAGAGGGGATGGGGAAGAAGGACAATGGTGGAAAGAATGGGAAGGGACTAGACAAAGAACATGTATGAATGGCCCATGGACATGTACAACAGAGTGGGAATTGACTGTGGGAGGGTGTGGCAGGGTGGAATGGGTGGAGGAGGGCAAAGAGGAAAAAATTGAAACAACTGTAATAGAATCAACATGATTTAATAATTAAAAAATAAAATGAGCTTTTGCTATATGAAAGATATTCCTCCTTGGGGAATTAAGGGGACATCTTTATGGACACAAGGTACATGTAAAGAAAAGGCTTTCTACATTGGATAATGTCTGATAAGGAGTCCATGCTGGTTTTAGTGGTATCTGGAACCCTCTTAAGCAGCAGCTGAGTATGGATCCAGCTCAGAGCTCAAAAGGTCTCATTTTGAAGTTGAATAGGATCCTATTAGCCTGTGGGGTGGGGACAGACAAGAAATAATGCTCTATGCTTACAGAGTATTGGGAAGACGGGTCCTTGGGGAACATCTTTCTCCAGGTTGAGGGTAAAGCTGTAGGATAAGGTGTCTTCCAGGATTAGGCCTACAATCTCCTGACTCAGCTGAGTTGGAAACAGCCAGGAAGGGATCTGGAAGTGTGAGAGGCAGTAAGCTTCTGCTGGCCAGCCAGGCAGATCAGTGGGCTAGCCACAGCACATCAGTGAATGCCCTGTAGCCCCCAGCCCACCCTTCACCATGATTAACAAAAAGGGGTTTTGATGAAGATACAGAGAGATAAGAACCCTCCCCCATGTTTAGACCCCCATTTCTGAGCGAAAACAGAGCAAAACTCATTATAAAGAGACAATGAGCTAAAGGAGAGAGAAAGATGATGACACACCACAGTGTGACAAGGACATGTGAGAGTGATTCGTGGTGGGACACAGAGAGCAAATTATTACTAAGGAAGAGCATTGATTGTCAATAAAGGCAGAGTGACAAATGGTATCATCTTTCAAATGTTTTGCTTGTCAGCTTTACAAATTTAAAATCAATCATTAGAGATGGTTAGTGCTTTATGATCATACCTACTGGTAAGAGTTTTACAAAGTGTTTACAAACAATTATGGTGGAGGAATATGAGAAGTACATCTTCTCATTTGCTTATTCATGCAGTCAACTCTGGTCACCCTGGTGCTGGATGCGGGATTCTGGGTGTTTGGAGCTGGGCACCTGCAGTGAATATGCTTTATATAGCCTCTACTGTTGAGGGAACTTGGAGAGTATTGTTGTATTCTCACTTTTCTAACTAGCTATGAGACAGAGGCAAGCCACGCCCGGCTCTGGACCTCAGTTCCCTCTGATTAAAATGAGGATTCAACTCATCCCTTCTTGGTGAGAGGACTGTACTGTGTGTATGCTAAGATCATAGTCCCTTGAAAAACTTATGGGTTTCTGAAAAAGATGGCAACAGAAAATAAAAATTATCTTAACTGGAAAAAATGGGACTATTAAGAATGTAAGACTGTGCATCTGTATCTGCGTGCAACCTTGGCTTAAATTTTTCATGTGGAGTGAGGAAGGCAAGGCTTTCTTGGAAAGGAAGTAATTGTGATGAAACCCCAGGAACTTGGACACAAATAGATCTGCTTTTAATGAAACCTTTGATCATGGGCCCCTCACTAAGGATCATGTTTCCGATTTGTAAATTGGGACAGAATGTTTCACTCTGCCTATGTACCAAAAATCATAGGTCCTTATGCTGAACTGAGCTCTTACAAATATCTTGACACTAAAGAAGGCAATGAATGACGTTATTTTTCTTTCAGCCCACTCTTGAGGACACCTCAGCTCCCAACTGCAGTGCAAGCCACTGGGGGATCTGGCAGCTCCAGTGACTCAGAGAGCAGCTCAGAGACTGACTCAGAGACTGAAAGCAGCACCACAGACAGCGAATCCAATGAGTTGCCTCATGTGGCCACTCCAGAGGTGGGTGAGATGGCCAGTGCCACAACCACGATCTGCCTGTCATCAAGGCAGTACCCCAGAAACACAGACATGCACACACTTTCAGCACAATAATTATTTTAGCACAATAAGAATTGACAAAAGAATTCAGGTACAGTCATACCTGGGTACTCATCAGCTTCAGAACTCATCGAACACTACTCGTATCTTTTTATTTTTATTAATTTTTATTTTTACTTTTTTATTTATTTATTTTTTAAATATATTTGACTCTGCCTACCCCCCACCACTTTCCCTTGCCCCCTCCCTCCTTCCCTCCCTCAGCTCTTCCCCTTTGGTTTTGTCCATGAGTCCTTGCTATATGTTCCTTGACTTTCCCCTTCTCTTCCTTTTCCGCCGCCCCCACTCCTTCCCTCTTGTCTCTGTTGATTTCTTTTCCTTTCAGTGTTGCTGGTCATATTTTCCTTGCATCTTTGTATTGTTGGTTAGGTTCCGCTGATAGGTGAGATCATATGGTATTTCTCTTTCGCCCCCTGGTTTATTTCGCTTAGCATGATGCTCTCCAGTTCCATCCATGCTGTCGCAAAGTTTAGTACTTCTTTTTTTTCTTTCTGCTGCATAGTATTCCATTGTGTATATGTACTATCACTTTTTGATCCAATCATCTACTGATGGGCATTTAGGTTGCTTCCAACACTTGGCTATTGTAAATTGTGCTGCTGTGAACATTGGGGTGCATAGGTTCTTCTGTATTGGCGTTTGGGTGTTCTCAGGGTATAGTCCCAGCAGGGGAATCGCTGGATCAAAAGGCAGTTCCATTTTCAGCTTTCTGAGGAAATTCCACACTGCTTTCCACAATGGCTGCACCAGTCTGCATTCCCACCAACAGTGGACTAGGGTTCCCTTTTCTCCATAGCCTCACCAGCACCTGTTGTTTGTTGATCTGTTTATGAGGGCCATTTTGACCGGTGTGAGGTGGTACCTCATGGTGGTTTTGATCTGCATTTCTCTGATGGCTAGTGATGCTGAGCATCCTTTCAAATGCCTCTGGGCCCTCTGTATCTCCTCCTTGGAAAAGCATCTGCCCAGGTCCTTTGCCCATTTTTTGATTGGATCGTTTCTCTTCTTGGAGTGGAGTCGAATGAGTTCTTTATACATCTTGGAGGTGAAACATTTATCTGTTATATCATTAGCAAATCTATTTTCCCATAGGGTTGGCTCCCTTTTCATTTTGCTGATGTTTTCTTTTGCCATGCAGAAGCTTCTTATTTTGATGAGGTCCCACTTGTTTATTCTCTCCTTTATGTCCCTTGCCCTGGAGACATATCGGTAAAAAAAAAATGCTGCGTGGGATATCTGAGAGTTTCCTGCCTATGTTCTCCTATAGGACTTTGATGGTGTTGCGACTTATATTTAAGTATTTTATCCATCTTGAGTTTACTTTTGTGTATGGTGTCAGCTGATGATCCAATTTAATTTTTTCCTATGTAGCCCTCTAGCTCTCCCAACACCATTTGTTGAAGAGGCTATTATTGCTCCATTTTAGGCTTCTTCCCCCTTTGTCAAATATTAGTTGCCCATATAGACCTGGGCTTATTTCTGGGCTTTCTATTCTGTTCCATAGGTCTGTGGTTCTGTTCTTGTGCCAGTATGAGATTGTTTTGAGTATACTGGCTTTGTAGTATAATTTGAAGTCCGGTATTGTGAACCCTCCTACTTTGTCTTTCTCAAAATTGCTATGGCTATTTGGAGTCACTTATGGTTCCATATAAATTTTTGAAAAGTCTGTTCTGTTTCTGCAAAATATGCCATTGGTATCTTAATAGGAATTGCATCAAATCTATAAATTGCTTTGGGTAGTATGGATATTTTGATGATATTAATTCTTCCAATCCATGAGCATGGTATATGATTCCATTTATTTGTGTCTTCCTTAATTTCTTTCTTCAATGTTGTATAGTTTTCTGCATGCAGATCTTTAAACTGCCTTGGTTAAATTTATTCCTAGGTACTTTATTTATCTTGTTTCTATATCGAATGGGATTTTTTTTCCTGATTTCTTCTTCTATTTCATTGCTGGTGTACAAAAATGCCTTTGATTTCTGAACATTGACTTTGTATCCTGCTGTTTTCCCAAATTCACTTATTAGGTTGAGGAGTTTTTTGGTAGAGTCTACAGGGTTCTCTATGTACACTATCATGTCATCTGCAAACAATGATAGCTTTACTTCCTCCTTTCCTATTTGGATGCATTTTATTTCTTTTTCTTGTCTGACCACTGTGGCTAGGACCTCCAATATCATGTTGAAAAGAAGTGGTGAAAGCGGACATTCTTGTCATGTTCCCAATATTAGTGAGAAAGCTGTAAGTTTTTTTTTTTTCCATTGAGTATGATATTGGTTGTAGGTTTTTCATATATGGCCTTTATTACGTTGAGGAATGTCCCATTTATTCCCATTTTGCTGAGTGGTTTGATCATAAATGGTACTGTACTTTATCGAATGCTTTTTCTACCTCTATCCAGATGATCATTTGGTTATTGTCTTTTCTTTCATTTATGTGATGTATTATGTTTATTGACTTGTGTATATTGAACCATCCCAGCATCCCTGGGAAGAATCCCACTTGATCACGGTAGGTAATCTTTTCAATGTATTACTGGATGCAGTTTGCCAATATTTTGTTGAAGATTTTAGCACCTATGTTTGTAAGCGAAATTAGCCTGTAGTTTTCTGTCTTTGTAGGGTCTTTACTGGTTTGGGGATTAAGGTGATGCTGGCCTCAAGGAAAGAGTCTGGGAGTCTTCCCTTCTCTTGTTTTTTTTTTTTTTTTTTTTTTTGGAATAATCTGAGAAGGTCAGGGGTTAGCTCTTCCTTAAATGTTTTGTAAAATTCTCCTGTGAAACCGTCCGGCCCTAGGCTTTTGTGTGCTGGGAGTTTCTAGATTACTGCTTCAATTTCCCCAGCTGTTATCGGTCTGTTCAAGCTTTCTGTTTCTTCCACCTTCAGTGTTGGAAGATTATACTTTTCTAAAAATTTGTCCATTTCATCAAGGTCTTCAAATTTCTTGGCATATAATTGTTCATAGTAGTTTCTCACAATCCTTTTTATTTTTGTGGTATCAGTTGTTATTTCTCCTCTTCCATTTCTGATATTATATATTTGGTTTCTCTCTGTTTGTTTCTTGATGAGTCTGCTTAAACGCTTGCCAGTTTTATTACCTTTTCAAAACCAGCTTCTGGATTAGTTGATCCTCTGAACTGTTCTTTTCGTCTCTATATCATTCAGTTCTGGTCTAATCTTGACTATTTCCTTCCTTCTACTTGCTCTGGGATTTACTTGTGGTTGTTCCTCCAGTTCTTGAAGTTGTAGTGTTAGGTTTTCCTTTGAAATGTTTCTATCTTTCTTAGGTAAACCTGTATTGCTATAAACTTCCCTTTCATGACTGCTTTTGCTGAGTGCCATAGGTTTTGGACTGTTGTATGTTTATTTTCCTTTGTTTCCAGAATTTTTTAAATTTCTTCTCTTATCTCATTATTGACCCATTCATTGTTTAATAGTCTATTGTTCCATCTCCATGAGTTTGCAAGTTTTTGAAGTTTCTCTTTGAGGTTGATTTCCATTTTCAAGCCCTTGGCGTCCAAGAGAAGTTTGGTAGTATTTCAATTTTCCTGAATTTTCTGAGGTTTCCTTTGTGTCCTATCATGTGGTGTATCTTTTAAAAACTTCCATGAGTGTTTGGAAAGAATGTGTATTTTTCTTCTTTGGGATGTAAGGTTCTATATATGTCAGTTAAGTCTATTTGATTCAGTGCATCATTCAGCTCCACAATGTCCTTATTGATGTTTTGTTTGGAAGATCTGTCCATTTTTGACAGTAGGGTGTTAAAATCACCTACTACCAGTGTGTTCCTGTCTGTATCTTTTTTGAAGTTGTCCAAGATTTTCCTTATATACTTGGGTGCCCGTATATTGGGAGCATATAAGTTTACAATATTTATGTCTTCTTGATAGAATATTCCTTTAAGTATTATAAAGTGTCTCTCTGGGTCTCTTTTTATGGCCTTTGTTTTGAAATCTATTTTGTTTGATATAAGTATTGCAAACCCTGCTTTCTTCTCTTGCCCATTTGCTTGGAGTTTGTTTTTCCATCCCTTTACTTTCAATCTGTGTAGGTCATTTGCTCTGAAGTGGGTCTCTTGTAGGCAGCATATGTGTGGGTCATGTTTTCCTATCGATTCAGCTATCCTGTGTCTTTAGATTGGGGCATTTGTTCCATTTACATTGAGACATTACTGATAGAAACTTATTCATTTTTTCTCTTTGTGCCTGTGTTTTTCTCTTTCTCACTCTTTTCCTTCATCTTCTTGAACCAGTCCCTTTAGCATATGTTGTAGTGCTGGTTTGGTAGGGATGTATTCTTATATCCTTTTTTTTGTCTGGTAAACTCGTTATTTCCCCTTCTATTTTGATTGAGAGCCTTGCTGGTTTGAGCAGCCTAGGTTGTAGGCCTTTGTTTTTCATTACTTGGGATATTTGTTGCCAATACCTTCTGGCTTGTAGTGTTTATGTTGAGAAGTCAGCTCCTAGCCCTATCGGGGCTCCCTTCTATGTTACTTTCTCCTTCTCCCTTGTTGCCTTGAGGATTCTCTCTTTGTCTTTGATAGTTGCCATTTTAATGATGATCTGTCTGGGAGTGGACCTCCTTGTGTCCCCTTGAGTGGGGCCCTCTGTGCCTCCTAGATCCATGAGACCTTTTCTCTCTTCAAATTGGGGAAATTTTCCATCGCTAATTTTTCAAAGAGGTTCTCTATCCCTTGCTCCTCTTCTCCTTCTCGTATCCCTATTATGCAGATATTATTGTGTTTCAGGTTGTCCTGCATGTCCCTAAATTCCTCTTCATTCTTTTTGAGTCTTTTTTCCATTTCCTGTTCTTTCTGGGAGCTTTTTTCTACCTTATCCTCCATCTCACTGATTTGATCCTTGGCTTCATCCAGCCTGCTCGTGATTCCATCTCCTGTGCTCTTCAATTCAGAAATAGTATTCTTCAATTCAGAAATAGTATTCTTCATAACCTCTTGTGTCTTCTTGATAGTTTCTATGTCCTTTTCCCGGTTGATATAGTTTGCTTTAAGATCCTGATAGTTTCTCTGCAGTTTCTTATAGTTATTTTTTAGCTGGTTGAGCTCATTGAGCTTCTTTAGAGCAATTATTTTGAATTCAATATCCGATAGTTCCCTTGCCTCTATTTCATTTAGCTCTCTCTCTGGGGATTCCCCTTTTCCTTCATTTGCGGGGAACATCTTTTTCTTCCCATTTTTGTGAGAGTCTATGAAGTAATCAATTAATTTATTTATTTTTGCTTCTGCTTCAATTGATCCATCTAGATTTCTTGACTTTGTGGATTTAACTCCTATGGTAGTAGGCGGCTCTTTTTATGTATGTATGTATGTATGTATGTATGTATGTATGATTTCTTTACTTTTCTTTCTGGGTCTGCCTCTGATGATGTTAGTTGTTGACCCCATATGACCTTGGGTTGTTTGTTTGGGCTTTCCAGGAGTATATTGTCGGTGTCTCACTCTCACTTTGGGCAGTTCTGTGACCCCTTTGTCCAGGAATCCACTATTTCTGCGGACCATGTTGTAATCGTGGGCCGTCTCGCTCAGGAGCATCCACTTCTGTCTTTTTGGGGGCACACCTTGCCTGCCTAAAATGGAGACTACAGAAAGGGGAGGGAGTCGGGACTCCCTGGTTCCTCCTCTCGTTCTTTCCCCAATGCCTCCATCTCCAGTCTCTCCTCAAGGCTCTATGCAGCTGTGCGACCCCTTTGGCCAGGGATCCTCTATTTCTTCCAGCTTGCCTGCACTAAGCCCTCCAGCTCACATGCACACAAGCTGTGTGTGGAACGCACAAAAAGCAGGTTAATTGACTCCCTTATGCCTGAGCGAGATGGTAGCTTCAGAGTGGGAGGTGAGTTATCACCGGGGCTCCGCCGGGCACCGTCTCAGTTCTCTTCACAAAGTTTTCCTCTCCAATCTTTTCCCAGGCACCAGCCCACTCTGCTGCGACCTCTACCCAGAGGTCAAGGAGGGTGAGTGCCAGTGCAAATTTTTGCATTGGCCCTTTATATGTCTCTTTGTGTCCCTAGCTGCCTGTCTCTGGCAGAGAGTGCCCCTAAGCTTTTTGGGGTTGCGTTTTGTCTCTGTGTTTTCCTGGTTTTAGCTGATGTATTCTAGCAGTCCCTGTTTATGGTTCAGACCCTGTTCTTCTCAGGGGGATCCAACTGGCCATCTCAATGTTCCTCTGGTGCTAGTGCCTGTGGGCACCCAGCCCACCCTCTCAAGCCTCCACTGCACTTCTCACCTATTAGGATGTGTGAGAGTTGAATCCACTGCCTGTCCACAGCTCCAAGGCCCCTCTCCCTCTATCGTTCCATTGTTTTCCAGGTGATTTCTCCACTATTTAGTTGCAATTCCAGTTTGGTCTTGGGAGGAGGTCAGCGTGACTCCCATTCACTCCTCCGCCATCTTCGAATTCCTCTCGCTAATGGGTTTTGAATTTCGATGATGTGCCAATACTGTGAGAAGATCTTGACTTACATTTACTCATTTCATCCTAAAACAAAACAAAACAAAAAGGCTTTGAGGTCCTTGCTATTATTATAGCCACTTTACATATGACAGAATGAGGTTATGGGCAGTTAAGAAAGAACTTTCCCAAGACCTCATACATAGCCAATGACAGAGCCAGGACTTAAACCAGGCTGTGTGTGTTGCCAGAGTTAGTGCCCTTAATGTCAGAGTTATGCTGCTACCTTTGGAAGTCAATACAATTTCCTGGACCCCTACCTGCCATTGCCCTGTGCAGGTTGGAATCATAGCTACTGAAGTGTTTTTAATTATGTCATCTTCTGTTAGCTGATGCCATAAACCTCAGCTGATGTTTTTCAAATGAATAGCAATTCTAATAAAAAAAAATGATGGCTCTTTTAGTTCCACAGGCAGAATCCAGAGTTAGGAATCAAGCACCTGAAGAGTATGCATCATTTCTATGGCTTAAGAGCAGATGCTAATGCCAGCATGCATGTACACATACACCAAGGAAACTGTAGTGGTTTTCAGAAGTTAAATATTTTCATCCTTCAGTAAAAATACAAAACACTTATTCTTTTTGCAGTGAATTATAGCATCATATAGGAAGCACTGGCACTCTGGCAGACGGAAAGCCTTTTCTTTTGAATTACACTTGAGGCACACTTACATCCTTTTCAGGACTGGAGATCATTACGTCTGCTTACTGGTGAGAGGCTGAGTATGAGTTTCATCAAAGGATTTTTTGAACAGGTTTCCCTACCAAGCCTCCCTACACAGTCTCTGAAAAAACTCCTTGTGAATAATTCTTTCCTTCCTTGTAAGAGTGGAGAATATTTTCATAAGAAGAATGGAAATTAGTTTAAATATGTATATTGGGGATTGTTTTTGGCATATTTGGCTCTTTAGGTAATTTGATTAATGTAGATTCTGTGTGTGCATTTGTAAATGTGTGAATGGTCACTTAACACCCAAAGCTTTTACCACCAAACAACCAGTATACTGAGGGTCCTCCTGAATCTTTCCCAGATGTGAAATTGATTCTTGCTGCTGTTTCTCAATCTGTAGCCTGAGCCGCCCACAACCAACAAGTGGCAGTTGGATAAGTGGCTTAACAAAGTGACATCCCAGAACAAATCATTTATTTGTGGCCAAAATGAGATACCCAAGGAGACTATTTCTGTGCCTCCAGCAATCATCCAACCAATGGAAGTCCAGGGCAAAGTGAATACAATCCCCAGCCAGGTCCTGGATGAACCCAAAGAGAGGCCTCTTCTCAGTCTCATCAGGGAGAAAGCCTGGCCACGGCCCACCCGGAAAACTCCAGAAGCAAAGGCTTTGAAGAATAAGTTTTCAGAAACTATTGATACAGCTTCCCAAAAGACAATTGGGAAAAAACAGCCCAAAATGTTTGATAAGAATACCAACATTGATGAGTTTACCTGGCCCAAACCAAATATAACCAGTAGCACTCCCAAAGAAAAAGGAAGTATGGAGCATCCGGATGCACCAAGAAGCCGCAACAAAGCCACTGCCCACAAAGCAGTCCCTAGAAAAGAACCAAGGCCTAACATTGCATTGGCTGCCGAGAAAAATAAATGCAGAGGGCTTGGAAAAATTGCCCCAAAGTCCCAGGATCTCATTGAAACAGATTCATCTATGTCTGATTGTAACACAGATCAGGGAGAAACCTTGCAGATCAAAGTCCTGTCTCCTTGTACTGTTCCTGGGGGCAATTTTGCCAAATCCAAGGAAACCTGTGGTGCTAGCCTGACCTTCAACACCTTAATCAGTTGCAGCAGAAATAACAATTTATTCATCAGTAATGAGGAGCTGGCTTTTTCACCCATCCCTGTCATGCAATCTGAGCTTCTATCCCCTCTACAAGAGCAAGAGAATCTGAGAAATCTCTGGGTGAAGATTGACCTTGACTTACTATCTCAAGTACCTGGCCACAACTCACACCAAGCAGCACCAGCCAAGACAGACCACAGGGGGACCACCTCAAAACCTAAGCACCGCATTGCTGGGGCAAATGCTGAAAAAAACACACCTAAAGGCAAGCGTAAGCACAAAGTAAGTGTTTTAATGTTGGCTGCCAATTGATCATGAGTATTGGCTAACTTGACCTTGAGTCTTATTTTTAAGGATTCAAATGAGAGTTTATTGCAGGTTTTGGTGAAGGCAATGATGCTTTCCATGGGAAATGGTGTATTTGACATGATCAGGGAGGAAATGTTAGGAATGATCAGGGTTTGGCAGCTAATGTCTAGAGTATCCAATATGTCACAGAAGCAATTACAGTGTGTAGGAAAGAAGAATATGAAGAGTATCCTTCCTTGGGCAATCAGTCCCTGTGATCATCCCCTTAAGCAGATCCTGCTTTCTGGGACTCATAGATCATTACTCTATAGTTCCCAGCAGCAGCAAGGAACTCAAGTGTTCCTAAGGTCAAAATGCATCCTCTGGGCCTTGTTAGTTTATCTGAACAAACATCAGCATACCCACAATCCAATTACACTTTGATTATCCTGGGTCCTGCTAGACATATATTCTGCCCAGTTTGCTTGGTCCCCTAGCCTGTGTGGTCAGCTTGACTTGTGAAAATCTTCCCTGCATGAGGTTAGGGCTGAATTCCAGGACTAAAAATTATAATCAGAAGATGAAATGCAGAATGGCCTCTTCAATTTCAAATACATCTAGGGAAGTGAGTTTGTATCTAATAGGCTCATTCTTTTGTAACTCCAGACATTGTGAGTGTTTTTGGAGTAACATCATCTTGTGATGATTTAGGGAACATTTTTAATGGCTGCCACAGTGGATGGAGAGGAGGTTTCTATATTTTTCCCCATTTCTTCTGTCCCTTCCCAGAAGAGACTTAAGAATCATCAGAAATGGCTTAGATTCTTTACTAGGGGACACCCTTATCTGTGGCCAAACCATACTGCTGAAATGTATACTGCACAGATGATTTAAGTCTTCATTCAGCATTAGCAACTCAAAGCAGGGACTTTGTGCTGTACACCAGTTTATCCAATGAGAGTGTTCCACACTAGGGACCAAAGTCTGGAGTCCTTGCATTTTCATTTTTTCTCCATTTTTAGTGAACACAACAGTACAACTAGGGGTAAAAAGTGTACCTTCATAACGAATACATGCAAAGGTCCAAAGGTGTGCCTTATACATTGTTAATTCCTGTGCATGTTATTGATTGTATAAGTGATGTTTATATAATACCCACTATCCCCATGCTGCTTGGACATGATTTATGCCATGTTAAAGTTGAAATGTTAGTTTCTACATTACTCATTTGTTGATGGGAGAAGTATCTGAAAAGTATAGATTCTCTTTACTTTTGCTATGAGATTCCTGTGCCACCCAATCTTTAATTAGAGGTTCACATCACAGCTCAACTAGCTCAAATTCCAACTTTTTGTAGGAAGAGGGTAATAGGAACAAAGCTAATTGTTTCTCCATCAAATCAAAGGTGCTTATTGTTTTAAAAGTCTGCATGTGCTGTGCATTTTAAACTGTGTATTTTTTCCTGTTAAAGCCAACAGAAGTCTCGGAGAAAATCCCTGAGAAGAAGCAACGCCTGGAGACCACCACTATCTGCCTGCTCCCTCCTTGCATCTCTCCAGCTCCATCACACAAGCCTCTCTGCTCTAAAGAGTGAGTTTTCCCTGTTTTTGTATGATACTTCTATTGTTCAGAAACTTAAAAAATCACCTTTTGGGGGTTCTAGTCTCAGATTAATATTATGTAAAAAACAACAGTTGTTCAGCCCAGTCCTGACTGCTATTTCTGGTCTAACATGAGTAGAATAAGAGAGAGGGAACATAGGCTGCCAGATTTGGGGTGGAACCATGAGCTTTTTAATAACATTTCCTTACCCTAACTCAGATTGACAATGATTCTGTTTGGCCAACATGAACTTTTATGACTAAGTGAGAGTTAAAAGGAAGTAAATGGGGAGCATCAAGAAACATTTATCACTTGAACCAGATCACCTGATTCTGGGCAACTTCCAGTTCTGATGGTGATTAAACCATTTTCCTGGGAAGCAACCCCTTGGCCTTGATAGGATGACCCAACTGCTGCTTCATCTGTGGTATCATTATTTAACCTTAATATTAAGCTTGAAGATCAGTAGATAGATCCTGAACACCTCAGAGGCCAGGGGAATGCCATGTCCAGGAGGATCAGAGAGATGAGCTATCTGGGAGTGCTCCTCCCTATGTGATTCTGTGTTGGAGAAAGAATCTAAAGGTTAATTCCAATCATTTGTCAACTCTTCACCCTTCTCCCTCTTTGTGAAAGGTTCCAGAGTCAGGCAGGATGTGTCCTTGTTTCCCCCTCACTTAAACAGCCTCAGCCTTCCCTAGAGAAGTTCTCCCCTCTCTGTTTAAACCAAACATTGTGACTGTGTTCTGTCTTACAAATATCACTTAACAACCATATCAGTTACTGGAGCCATGCCATCTGGATAATTATTGCTATAAATGTATTCAACATTAGGGATTATTTCCATCAAAAACCAGTTTTGGAGCTTATTAGCAGCCCAGAGCATAACAGAAAATCTGGCTAACTGCTGCCAACAAATGATTTCAGTTTATTGTTTAATGTCAGTGATATAGCATCAATCTGCCACAGATAAGATGTCAGAAAGAAATTTTTGGTTTACATTTGTTTGGATCCTTGTTGTTTTGAGATGAAAGATAGAAAAAGCACAACTATCATTAGATCCACTCAATATAGCATGGCAGTTTGAGCCCTGAGCTGTGCCTTTCCCTGAAGATCCATAACTCTGTGAACTGTGTCTGTATTCCCTGGTATAACTTTGATCTGAAACATCCCTTCACATACTTGGAGTTCTCAGACCTAGAAACTCTTACAGTGGAGCAAGCTGATGCTCTTCACCTTAGAGTGGGCCAGTCATGTAGAAAAACATGTAGAAGAATCTCCAGTGATTAAACATGCTCATCTTCCAAGGAGAAAGAACTGCAATGGCAGTTCCCAGGCTTTGACATGTTAAAGCCACTTAAAGGCAAAAAGAAAAGGCAGAGGACAGTGAAGAATTGCCACACCATCAGTCCTCCTTGCTAGCCTCATTAAGCAACACAATGCCCTGTCACTATTTCTATTTCATGGATGAGAGATGATCAAATATTAAGTAAATGTCTAATTATTAGAATATGTTCTCATAAAATGCTGTTTTAAACTTAGGGTAGTTATAGTCTTTCTGCTTTTCTTATAGGTAGGAAAGCAGTGGTTACCTAATAGCATTTTTTATTCAGGAGGGCCTGAGTCAGGTTTTAATAGTTATCAAAAAAATTCAAGTCTGTGAAAAGATCTCGGCAGATGAGGGACCATAGAATGGCCTCTCAGAGGTCTTCTCCTGGGAAACTCTCCTTAAGTTTTGTCTGCTCCTTTGTGCTTTGTTGTCCCTGAAAACTAAATCCTTGGAAATTTCTATCAGTCAACATTTACTTTTCTAAATGAATATTCTAAACCTAGCAAAGAATGCCACACCAGACTTTGATAGCTGGAGTTCCCTGTCATCCAACAGAAGGGCCCTGCTGAGTTCCTCCCTGATTCTTTGGAGTTTGAACCTTCAGGAATCATAAACAAGGCCTCTGAGGCATTGAGGAATGATGATATACTACTCTTGTCTGCTGTCTTCATCTGCTCTCCTATAAGAATTGTGGAAAGTAACAAAAACTATTTTTGTAGTAAGAAGCTGGAATGGTGACAGAATGGTCTCAACAAAATGCTCCCTGGATATTATTATTTTTTACAAAAATTTTATTAAATACTAAATTGATATATAAAAGCTTATAAAATATGTACAAGGCACAGGGAATAGATACAGATTAAGAAATAGAACATAACTGTTACCCTGAAAGTCTTCTGCACATACCTCTCAATTTTCTCCACTCTATTCAACGGCACAAACTTACAGTGAATATTTTATTAACTTCCTCTTTTTAATTATTTTAACATGGATCTTTAATTCATCCAATATATTTGCTTAGATTTTTTAAATATTTTATTTATTTTTAAAATCATGCTTATTCTATTACAGTTGTCTTAATTTCCCCCCTTTGCTCTCCTCCACCCATGACACCCCATTCCCCTCTCCTACAGTCAAATCCCACACTATAGTCCAAAGCAATGGGTCATTCATACATGTTCTTTGTTTAGTCCCTTCTCCTTCTTTCTACCAGTTGTTTTCCTTCACCTTCCCCTCGGATCACCTTAAGACTGCTCTATGTTTCCTTCCCTGTGGTTTATTTTGTTTGTTAGCTTATTTTGTTGAAGAGATTCCACTTATAGATGAGGTAATATGGTATTAGTCTTTCAACGACTGACTTCTTTTCCCTACCACAATATTCTCCATTTCCATCCATGTTGTTCCAAAAGGTAAGAGTTCCTTCTTTTTTATCTTTTATTTTTTTGTGATTTTTTTTAAATTTATTTACTTTTTAAATACATTTGTCTCTGCCTCCCCCCCACCTCTTTCCCTTGCCCCCTCCCACCTTCCCTCCCTCAGCTCTTTCCCTTTGGCTTTGTCCATGAGTCCTTGCTATATGTTCCTTGACTTTCCCCTTCCCTTCCCTTTCCCTGCCCCCCCTTCCCTCTTGTCTCTGTTGATTTCTTTTCCTTTCAGTGTTGCTGGTCATATTTTCCTTGCATCTTTGCATTGTTGGTTAAGTTCCACTTATAGGTGAGATCATATGGTATTTGTCTTTCACCCCCTGGCTTATTTCGCTTAGCATGATGCTCTCCAGTTCCATCCATGCTGTCGCAAAGTTTAGTACTTCTTTTTTTCTTTCTGCTGCGTAGTATTCCATTGTGTATATGTACCATCATTTTTTGATCCAATCAACTACTAATGTGCATTTAGGTTGCTTACAAAACTTGGCTATTGTAACTTGTGTTGCTATGAACATTGGGGTGCATAGGTTCTTTTGTATTGGTGTTTTGGTGTTCTCAGGGTATAGTCCCAGCAGGGGAATCGCTGGATCAAAAGGCAGTTCCATTTTCAGCTATCTGAGGTAATTCCACACTGCTTTCCATAGTGGCTGCACCAGCCTGCATTCCCACCAACAGTGGACTAGAGTTCCCTTTTCTCCACAGCCTCGCCAGCACCTGTTGTTTGTGGATCTGTTTACGATGGCCATTCTGACCGGTGTGAGGTGCTACCTCATGGTGGTTTTGATCTGCATTTCTCTGATGGCTAGTGATGCTGAGCATCCTTTCAAATGCATCTGGGTCCTCTGTAACTCCTCCTTAGAAAAGCATCTGCTCTCACCGCTTCTTTTCAACATCATATTGGAAGTCCTAGCCACAGCGGTCAGACAAGAGAAAGAGATAAAAGGCATCCAAATAGGAAAGGAGGAAGTAAAACTATCATTGTTTGCAGATGACATGATAGTGTACGTAGAGAACCCTGTAGACTCTACCAAAAAACTCCTCAACCTAATAAGTGAATTTGGCAAAACAGCAGGATACAAAGTCAACATTCAAAAATCAAAGGCGTTTTTGTACACCAGTAATGCAATAGAAGAAGAAGAAATCAGAAAAAATATATCATTCAATATAGCACGAAAAAAGATAAAGTACCTAGGGATAAATTTAACCAAAGACACAAAAGACCTGTATGCAGAAAACTATACAACATTGAAAAAAGAAATTAAGGAAGACACAAATAAATGGAAGCATATACCGTGCTCATGGATTGGAAGAATTAATATCCTCAAAATGTCCATACTACCCAAAGCAATTTATAGATTCAATGCAATCCCTATTAAGATACCAATGACGTATTTCACAGCAATAGAACAGACATTTCAAAAATTTATATGGAACCATAAACGACCATGAATAGCCGCAGCGATTTTGAGAAAGAAACACAAAGTAGGAGGGATCACAATACCGGATATCAAACTCTACTACAAAGCCACCATACTCAAAACAATCTGGTACTGGCACAAGAACAGACCCATAGACCAGTGGAACGGAATAGAAAGCCCAGAAATAAGCCCAGGTCTCTATGGACATCTAATATTCGACAAAGGGGGCAGAAGCATAAAATGGAGCAATAACAGCCTCTTCAACAAATGGTGTTGGGAGAGCTGGACGGCTACATGCAAAAAATTGAAATTGGATCATCAACTGACACCATGCACAAAAATAAACTCAAGATGGATAACAGACTTAAATGTAAGTCACAACACCGTCAAAGTCTTAGAGGAGAACATTGGCAGGAAACTCTCAGATATCCCACGCAGCAATTTTTTCACTGATATGTCTCCTAAAGCAAAGGACATAAAGGAAAGAATAAACAAGTGGGACCTCATAAAAATAAGAAGCTTCTGCATGGCTAAAGAAAACATCAGCAAAATGAAAAGGGAGCCAACTGTATGGGAAAATATATTTGCTAATGATATATCTTTCTTTTAAATGCAGATTGATTTTATTTATTTTTTAATCTCAAGATCCATCATAAAATATTTTAAAAATGTAAATACATTATAAAGTCTCAGCAATTAAAACAACATGACACAAACACAGAAATAATCCAGTAGATCAATGAACTAAAATGAGCATTGTGGAAAAAAGTATATATCTGTAAAACAATGTAATATATAATTAAATGGACATTTCAA